GGTATGGCAGCTAGTGTAGAACCTTCGGGCGGACTACTTAAATAGACAATCAAAAGTTGTACGTGTGGCTAGTTGTATGCTCATCAATGTACCAGAAAATGTTTGTAATTAAAAACATATAAAAACACAATAAAGCGTTAGCACCGTGACATCGGTTTAAAAAAAAAAAAATAATAATAAAAAAATAAATCCTGCATAGCATTTTCAGATTTATACACATGAACTCCACTAGATATTTGGCACATAATAGCATTATTTTCATCTAAGATAACTACATAAGAATGTTTTCTATAGAAATTGAGCCAATGGGTACTTTCAACTTGGACAATAATAATATTCCAGTTATGTATAGCTAAATCATCCTCATTTTCCTGATAATGGCATACACGAAGTGCTGAATTAACTTTAGCTTTAGTCTCATTGCTAAGAGTTTTACAATATGAAACCTAGTTAAAACAAGGCAAATCTGCTCTATTTTTGGCTAAGGAATTAAGAATTTCTCTTAGAGTTTTTGTTTTGCTACTAGCAACAGATGAGCAAATAAAAGTTGTAGTGAGATTCTCGCTTAAGAAATCAAGATAAGCTTCTGGTGCATCTTTTATTTCCTTTATATTAATGATTTTTCCAGATAATTTAACAAGTAGGCATAGATTTAATATGGCATTGGGTAATCTTTCAATTAATTCCCACTTAGGCTTTTCTTTTGACTTAACTTTGTCTGATACCTTACTGAAGCTAAGACCCTTATAATCTGGCTTGTATTGTTTTTGGCAATAACATTTAAGTACGAAATCTCTATTTTTTCGAATAAATCTATAGAGTTGGTCTTTTTCATGTTTAACATTACATATAGAGCATTTTTTAATATATTGTGTTTGAAAGTTGATAAATCCCTTCTCAATTTTTTTAATCTAGAGCCACCTGTAATTTGCAATAACTAAATTGGCTCCTTTAACCAAGGCATTATCATCATTGATAGGTTGGTATTCCTCTTCTGCTAGCCTCTTCTCTGAAAAGGTTTATGCCAGATTACAAAATAATTTTCTTTAGGCTGAACCAGGTAATCATCTAAATTTTTAAATCCCTTATTTATGGAAAAGATAGCAGGTCTTTTTATGCGTCTCTCTTTTGCCAATCCAAGAAGTTGAAGACTAAAACGTGATTTGGGAAGGCCAATATTGATGAATTTGGTATAAGGTTCTCCAACTAATTCCATAACTTTTTTCATAAAACCCTTGAGTTCTCTATAATCTACAAATTGGGCATGAGAATAGATAATATGCCAACTACATTTCTCAGCATTTGATGAATTAGCTAAGGCAAAAGAATTTAAGAAAGGCATACAATTTGGAATAAGGCTTAATACATCTGCACAAGCGATTAAAATTTGAGATAACAAATCTTCTTGTGTAATTTTTTTATCATCTAAGGAAGGTACTTTAGGATTTGTAGAATCAGGCTTTTGCCTTGCATCAATATCAATAATTAAGCATAGAGGTTGGTTCCCATCAATATATTCGTGGGTATTAGGTATTCTATAAACTTCAGAGAGATGATTGATCACTATATAACTTTTTTCTGTCATCTGAATTATATATTGAGAATGAAACTTTTTAGGTTAATATATATCTAAAAGCGCAGTATTGTTTCTATCAGAAGAGCTGGTATGGCCATAACCTTTTAGAGTCACCCCTTCAGGCCTAGATGCAAGCCAGTATTTATAAAATGTATATTCTTTATGGTCAGATTTATAGTCAAGATCCGTTAAACCCATAAAAAGCCTTTTTGCTTCATTATATTCGACTAACTTTTGATTTAAGCACTATTGCTATAATGATTTATGAAGATATTTTTTTGCTTCACTAGACAAACTCATTTTATTGATTTGTATATATATTATTTGTATATGTGCGTTGTTTGATCTGAAAAGTATATGTTATTAAAACTATATTAATTGGTAAATAAATCTTTAAAATAAAATTAATTATTTCAGAAATTTTAGCCGGATGCCAAAAAAAATTATATATTTGATTGAAGTAATTATTATATATAATCATAATGATATTATACCATTGCTCATATATTTATAGAACTGGAGAAATTTGTGATCGATGTAGTAAATCAGAAAGATGTTATATTTATCGTAATTCTCCAATAACTACTTTTTGTAGAGATTGTGATGAGCCAAATAGGTCTAAATATAATGCATGCAATAAACACATGGGAAAATATAAAAGTAAAGAGAATTATGACAGAAAAAAGCAAGATGAGTTATGTGCATAATTTACTAGGTTTAAGAATTATATATCTGACTTCCCTGATTCTATACACGAAGTTTAATCATATACCTAGCATATGTATATATTGATTATTTTTTCTAGGACCTCTTATTTTGGAAAAATGGCACTTATGTGCCTAAATAATATTATATCCTCTTTGATACTTTCTATATTTTTAGTAATTTTATTGTGTAAAGCTACGGATTCCAAAACTTTATTTTAGAAGAAATGACACTTTGTGCCTGATTGAACTTGTGTCTTGTTCGCATTCAATTTTTGATAAGATTACTTAAATAGCAATCCATTCAATTTTGGGTATATATACCGACTCATGATAATTAATTTCAATTTGAAAAAAGAATCTCTATAGTATATATCAGATAAAAGTAGTCTATATAAAACATCTCAACCAATATATACTAACCATGGCAAAAATCGCTACATCATTTATAAATCACTACAAATTAACTCCTCAAACTAGTTTATCTTAGCTTAGTAGTTATGTCGAAGAGTTGGCTAATAAACTTTCAGATAGTAAAACAAAAGAGCAGGCCTGAAAAGCCAAAGTTCAGGCCAAAAGATACTTCCAAGAGTTGGGATTAAGTAAAGAACAAACTAATACTCTTATTTCTATTCGAGCTCCTGGAAGACATGTTTATAAAAAAGATCTCATTAAAATTATTGCCCAAGATATTATAAAAAATAATCTCTTACCTGAAAAAATAAATAGAATAGCATATAACTTGGCTTCTTTTGCTCCTACTACTGTTGCAAGAAATTCTCATTTTAATTTATTACAGAAAGAGTTGCATAGCTTAGAAGCTAATTATCTCATTACTGAGGCAATGAAAATACCTTTTATTACTGAAGAAGCAAATTGGATTCAAGCAAGAAAGCGTATACTTTGTGGAATTAATAGTTACAATTGTTCCAAGTTCTTTTATCTGGAAAAAGTTCAGGAAAGAATTAACGAATATAATAATACCAATCCTCCTTCAATGCAAAATCTAATAGACATAATGATAATGCTATGTATATAATCGGCAAATGTAAAAAATCTTCATATCAACTGATACAAACCAAGTCGTGAGTCATGGTATAATTCTGACTATTCTTGGTACTGTATTGGTTATGCAAAAAATAAAGATGAGGTAGAAGAACCTCGAACATTCCTTTCAATCGAAAAAAATCTAATATAGGCAAAAAAATCACTTATCTGGATTCAGAGATCAATACTGGATAAATTTTCCTTTTTGTTAAAAGATAAGAATGGGAATACTAATATTGCACCTCTTAATCAATTCTTAAGTTGCTATAGAATTACCTCATATATGTTAAGAAAAATAGGTGCTGATCATGCTTCCAGAGTACATGGAGGTAAAAATGATACTGGCTATCAATATTTATGACAATTGGCATGTAGGCATAAGATAGGCCATGCTTTATCAGTCGAACATTATAGTGTGATAAATAACAGACCAATTGCTCTAATAACTTGAGAAAAAAATACTAAGATATCAGATATTATAGATCTATACAATTACTAATTACGCTTCTTTGCTTCAAAAACTTGTGTATATATTTCATTCTTGTTGATGCTAGAATATCTGGAAATGCACATCGTGGATTAGAAATAATTTTATTTAGTAGTGAAGAATAGGTAATTATTTACTAAGTTATTTTTTCAGTTATAATATATATTATCACAAGAAGCGCATTATTCTGGCTATAGAATAAAGTGGATAATCAGGTATTTGACAGCCTTCAGCTAATTTCAAACAAAGAATTTTTATTTGCTGTGATGTATATATATCTGTAATAATTTTCTTTGTTTTACTTTTGATTCTAGACATAAGTACTGATTGTCACTAGCTAATTTTTTGACAAAAATCTCATGCAATTGTTGAAGAGAGACATTCAAAAATAATAGTAGTCCCTCATCAGTAAACCAAAATTTCTTTACCCCACTATCGATAAATTTCTGTATTAACACACTTGGAATATCTTCTAAGAGACCATGAAATTTTTCAAACTTTTAGAAGTACACTCTTGTATTTTTATTGGCTTCTTCTGCCATTTCTTAATTAGTGTAACTGACAATACCAAGTTTTTCCTGAATTGTCACTATATTATTTTCTAAGCATAAAAGCAAATCAAATAATCTAATTGATTTATTTGAAGAGGCTTTATTCCTTCTAAGTTCTGCTTCTAAAATGGGATTGATATCTATACCAAGTTTCATCTGTATAGGTATTAAATCTCTCACCAATTCTAATAGCAATTTATATAAATTGGCAAGTTCTTTCACTTTCTTACTCTCCAACACTGCCATTTGATTTATATTATTGTTAATACCAAGTTTTTTCTGAATAGCTATTATATCTTTTTTCTTATATAAAAGCACCTTGTATAATTGAGGAAATTTTTTACTTGGATCAGTATTATTATTAGTATTACTTGTCATAATTGTTATAATATAGTAATATAATTAATGCGAAAAAATATATAAATTAAGTGAATATAGCAAATTCAATCTGAAAATAATTATAACCACTCAAAATCATATAACATTATAATAAGCCTCAGTGAAGCGATATTATATGTTTTAAATCTATAAATTGGAGATCAGCATAGAAGTATTTTAGTACTAACCAACTCACTAACTGTGCCTATTGCAGAGCAATGATCCTTTGGGTCTATCCTTAAGCTAAATTTTTTATCCACGATTGCTAGCAAAGATCAAGTGACTCCCCATACTAATTAATTCTAAATAAATAGATCGCCAAATCTGAAATAAGATTTTATAAAATCTGCAAATTAGGTTTGTTAGTTGTAAAAAATAAACTATAAAAATAAGCAAAGTATAAGTAATTTCATTATTAAAAACTTATCTGGTAACTCATTATTATTATGTCTCTTACTAATCTTCAAAATCTCATCTTGAATATTTTAAAAGAAACAAAACATAACATAGTACAAGATATTGTTGTTACAGAATTGCCACCATGTAAACTATGTAAAAACAAAATATTATCTGTTAATTTTGAATCATTTACAATACTTTTATGTAGACATACATATCATAGAAAATCTATAGAAAAAAAATTTTTACTTATGACAGAAAACAAATGCCTTTTATCTGATTGTAATAAAATTATTGATCCAGTAGTATCTGAACAAAGGTTTTCTATATCATCATCTCAGTCTAGTGGAACTTCTGCTCTTGCAAAAATATTAGACGATGATTTTGGATTAGGTTCTCCAATAGCTATTTCACCATTATTAGGTCAGAAAGACCCCCCACTTTATGAAAGTAGAATATAAAAAAAACATATTATAGAATCACCAAATAAATCTAATAAAAGACAGAAGTCAACTACTAAAGAGGGCAAATCTTCTACAGTAAAAAAACTTATTAAAGAATTAAAAGATAATAGTGTTAATAAAGATTTAATATTTCTCCCTTAGTTATCTGAAGATAGTTATACTTATCTTTATAAAGAAATAGTTAAAGCTGAAGCTAATAATAATATTGCAAGTCAAAAGCTTTTAAACTACTACTTTCATTTCGGTAAAAAATTATCTGATCGCTTGAATTATTATAAAAATGAAAAAAAATATCAAGATCATAAGGCTCAAAGTAAAGTAAATAAAGAAGTAAAAGACTAACTACCTAAAGAGGTTAATGATACTACATGTTGGAAACAAACAGAAAGAGCTAAAAAAATACATGAACTTTTTATTAAAATCGGTATTGATAAAATAAAACAGGTTAAATCTTATTTGGCTCTAACTATTTCAAAATTAAATTGGGAGAGCATCGACTATATTGTAGATAACATTAAATTATAAAATCATACATATACTGCGTATTGTATAATTGTTATACAGCTGACCTCTAGGTCTATTTTATTTTTATTATTTTTGCTGTATATCGGGGGAATGTTATAATAAATTTACATAAATTCGCTTTTAAACATTTTATAAAACCAAATTTCATATACATACGTATAACCAGTATTTTTACCTTATAAGGCTTATACATAATTTGTTTGTAAACGGGTCACAAACACAAGTGCCCCACCACGGTTTTACCGCAAAATCCCGAAAGACAGATTCCCGAAAGGACCTAATTCCGACAAAGTTAGCCGGCATTAATTATAATGCTGGCCAATTTAGTTGGTATTATGTTCTTTCGGGAAAATGGCTTTCGAGATTTTGTGGTAGAACCGTGCCCCACAGTTTGTATAATAAAAGTTTTAGCCACGTTATATTTTTTCTGTCAATATATAACAATGAAAGGTCAGAATAACACATTTACATGTAGAGATAAACAAAATTACCTCAAAAAGTGGCATATCTTTGGGGGTTGGAAGCACGGGTGTAAGGTTTGTGACGAATGTAATCATCATTCACACCTATATTGTAAGACCTGTAAAAAAGTAGCGAATGGAATATATAAGCGGTGTGAATGTGATAATTTTCTAAGGGAATCTATTATGTCCTCGAATAATTAATAATACAGTAATACCTACTGAAACCCAGCGCCTCGTGTGACCATGACAATAGTGCCATGATCACATTAAATAAAAAATATATTTCTCGGTCAATATTACCGTGATCTAATTTTTGAATGCATTCATTGTGAAAACAAAGTAGAGCGAACTGTCATAAAATTTCTCTTTCTGTGATCGTAGTAAGAATCCTAACCTGAATAAAAAAATACAGCGATCGGAATTTGAAAATAACGTGATTTTTTGAAAATTCGTCATAAAGTTTCTGGCTTGCGTAACTGGAAATGGAATATAAAAAGGCGGATCATGAAATTTTGGTTACCGATCGGCATCATGTCAATTGAAGAGCAGATGTCTTATTTAAGTATGGGTACGTATGTAACACATGTAAAAAAAAAATTTTTTCACCATTTTAAAACACGTGATAATTATATATCAATATACAGCTCATAATCATCACCTGTTTTTAAAAAACTTTTGTCATCAACCAAACTTTTCTCACATTTCTAATAACAATAAGACAAAACTATGTCCCGTTGGTATCGCTGGCACGAAGAACCTCCTCCATCAACCGAAGTTGTCGAGAAATGGGAGCATGATGATATTGTAAAATTCCTAAGCGAAAAAAAATATTTTGGCCTCAATGACGATGATATAAAAATAATCAAGAATAAAAATTTTAACGGCACAGCCTTTCTTAGGTTGACTGAAGACAAACTTGAAAAGTGGGGAATTTCGGAAGGACCAGTAATAGTAATAGCAGATTTTGTCAAAACGCTCAATACCTACTTTGTAATGAAGGAGGTCCATTGCACTGCATCATATAACAGAAAAATAGCGAAATTCCAGTGGACAATAACCCGAGGGATGGTGTCTTTAGCAGGGTTGAAAAAAAAACTCCAGGAATACTTTACATTCCCAGATGGGACAGAAGAAGAGCATATTGTAATAAGTCGTGTGTTGGATATCTTTCCACCTATGAAAAGAAAATTTTCAACTCCACGTATGGAGAAAACAAAACCTGGGACCAAATAAAATCAGGCTCGCAAGTTGAATCAGTAGAACGTAAGTCAATTCATTTATCTACTGACGAAGATTTAATGAACATAGTTTGGACTGCTAGCCACAAGATTGATTTAGCGATCATTGTGGATACATGTAATGTTTATTTTATATTTCTGTATTTATGCGGTTTATCAAATGTATATTATATGTGTCAGGTTCGTTAAACATCTACATTTCGTTTAACCAGCACAGCAACCGTTCTCATCCTATACTTTCCCAAAGATGAAAGTCCTTTTCGGTTTGAAAGCTGATAGCTATGTAGAGTTACCACGTTTTACAGGAGGGATTTCAGAAATAAATAAGGCGCTTAGAGATGATGTGATTAAAGATATTTTAGAAATACATATGGCATCACCATCTATTGTGGGTAGAGATGGGCATGCGCGTGATCCGCGCGTGATCCCGCGCGGGATTTTTAATATGATCCCAGGTAAAATTATCTGGCCGGCATTATCATATTATCTGACTGGCATTAATA